GACATAGTGCAGCGAATTAAAATACAGCGGCTCCGCTGGCTTGGTCATGTCGTTCGAATGGACACCGACGCTCCAGCTCTGAAAGTATTCAACTCGGAACCCGCTGGTGGTAGCAGAGGGAGGCCCCCACTGCGATGGAAAGATCAGGTGGAGAAGGACTTGGCTTCACTTGGCGTTTCCAATTGGCGTCAGTTGGCACATATGAGAAACGACTGGCGTGCTTTGCTGAACTCGGCCAAAATCGCTTAGGCGGTTACAGCGCCAAAAAACAAGAAGAAAGAAGAAGAAGTTCCACTTCTTCAATGTAGCCCAGGTGCACATACTTTTCGATAGGATTTGAAATAAATTTTGCTATAAAAAATTTAGTTATCGAAAATTATCAAGTTACTGAAATTTATCGAGTCATCGAAGTTTATAGTTATCGAAATTTATGGAGTGATACATATTTATTGAGTTATAACAACGTATAAAATTATTGAAATTGACCAATGTTAATTGAGTTGTCGAAATTCATAGACACAGAAAATTAGTTCTCGAAATTTGCGGATAGATATCAAGCTATAAAAATGTATGTGTTAGCGAAATTTGTCAAGTTAATGAAATTTATCAAGTTATCGATACTTATTGTTGTGTTTAGGGATTTTAGTTATCGAAATTTATCGGCAAAATAGAATGTGTCGGTTATATTCCAAGTCAACCACCTTCAACGACCAACGACCTTCAAAGATAAAAAAAATGTAAGTTAAGGTTTAGTTCGAAAGCAAGAGATTTTCCGGCAAGTAATTTTGTACATTACAAGTTAAACGAAGGACTAAGTTAGAAAACCTCTCCAAAGGTCTTACAAAACTAGAAGAACGGTCGAATTTCGACAGTGGCTGGCACTCTTACTTGTTAAAGGCCCATCAGTGTTGCTTGATATACTACTTAACCGTTTAGCGTCTGCAGCTAAAAGCCGGTTATTGTCCGCACTCTGGTTAGACAGATTTAGAGCCATTTCAACAATATTAGAGTGGACTCTCTGCCCATGTACACATCCGCATTCGCAAAACATTAGTAGCAGTTGATGCGAATGCGAATGTGTAAAATGATGCCATTCATTCGCATAACGAATGCGAATGCTAATATTCGCAACTTCCCTGATGTAAGTATGTTTGTTTGGGTCAAATCTTGGAATAAATTTTCCCTAACATAATGAGTAGGGGCAATGAACGACCAAAACCCCGGAAGCCACATTTAACCAATCTAGAAGCACATGACTTAATTGACATTCAGCTACCCGACGTTCCTTAACCATAAGTGGATTAAAGACAACCTGTAACCAAAAGAGATCTATTACTACACATCGCCTCGGCCACGATAACTAAATGACCTGCTTGCTCATATAAATCTAGTATAATTTATATAAGCTACAATGAAATAATGCGCTCAAAATGTGATAAGGGAAAGACGTTCCTCCGATGTGCGAAAAGTTTGCAAATTACATAAATTGGAAAAGATAGAAATCAGTAAAAGAGCTTATTTTAAAAATTAATGATACTCAATGCATTTGTGCGGGCGGATCTTAAATATGGCCATAGCATTTTCACATCTCTTATATTTTTTTTTTTGTAAAATTAGTTAATTTAAAGTTAATTAATTTATTTTTTGTTTTTTAATTTAAAGAGATATACAATTCTTTGTCCGTCTTTAGATTCAGCTGGCAAAAGCACATTGTATGTGAAAAAAATCATTAATTATCCGATTAGTTATCCGATTTTATGCAGAGTATGTTTTTATGATCTAACGAACTGTTCTAGGGGGAGTTTTAGGCCAAAATAAGATGCTCACTAAAATACATAAGATAAATACTACTTATGCTAACATATTTTAACCAAACAACGTATCAATTCTAAAAGTTTAATTTGAAAAAGAATATAAATATTACCGAAATTGCATATACATATGTACATATGTATAAATGTACATAAATATATAGAAAAAAATTACTTACTATATATAACTTTTCTTGCAGATATTCCAGACATTCCTGATGACATCAAACACCTGCAAAGCCTTCAGGTTGCTGATTTCAGCTCAAATCCGATTCCAAAACTACCTGCAGGATTTTCTCAACTAAAAAATTTAACAGTTTTAGGTTTAAATGATATGTCACTTACCACATTGCCAGTTGATTTTGGATGGTAAGTTAAAATGTTATTGGCCCTAATGTTTATCATTAAAAATCTATGGTTTAACAAAAGATTCGCGAATACTTTTAATTGTGTGTAAAGACACATATTTAAAAAACGGTCAACTTTATTTTATTTTATAAAAATGTTCAAGGTGCACAATGGAAATTAAAGGAATCCTGTTTCAATAACTTTTTCCATCACATTTCCCACAATATATTTTAAAAACATATCCATACGTTTTTATTAAAAAATTTCTGACGATCATTAACCACGGTTGCTGCCCGACGGCAAGCTAAAACTAATTGAAGAATTAAATTAACATGCGATTATTTCGATTCTAGCTTAACACAATTAGAATCCTTGGAGTTGCGTGAGAATTTATTAAAACATTTGCCTGAATCGATCCGCCAACTCACCAAGCTCAAAAGATTAGACTTGGGCGACAATGAAATAGAAGAACTGCCACCGTACTTGGGCTACTTACCCGGCTTACATGAGCTCTGGCTAGATCACAACCAGTTAGAAAGGCTGCCACCTGAAATTGGATTACTAACTAACTTAACATATCTCGATGTTTCCGAAAATCGGTAAGTATCCTTCAATTTACGTTTGTAGTTTATCTCAATTTGAAGTACCTGTTTCAGTTTGAAGTCCTTTATTCAACATAATTTGCTCTTTCTACCTTTCTTGCAGACTCGAAAAGCTACCAAATGAAATCGGTGGCCTGATAAATTTAACTGACTTGGATCTAGCACAAAACTTACTTGAATCCCTGCCCGATGGGATTGCCAAATTAAGTAGACTGACTATTTTAAAACTGGATCAGAATCGTCTCCAAAAGTTAAATCCCACTATAGGATGGTAAGTACTCATTCTTACTAATTTTCTATGTTTGACGAAATACTCTACTCCTATTTTTTTTTGTTTAGAAGCTTTAAAAAAATTGCATTTGCGATTTTTGAGATCGAATTACATTGCGCTGCAAAAAAACTCGGAATATACCCGAAACACAACATTTGTAGTTGTAAGTAGGGTCAAATGCAACATAAAAGTATTAATTCATGTAATCCCTCAATTTATTTCTTTTATAAAACCGTTAATTTCGTACTGGATGTAGCATATTATTAATAGCTTGATTATTTATCTTTTTATTTTTTTATTAAAAAAAAAAAAAAAAACTTAAGAGAGGCCAAACGCGCACAATGTGTATGCCAAATTTGGTACAGAATAGTGATATGAGTACTCGGTTACCATGCCTATTTTCGAAAAATGTTACATTCAACCAATATGTTGCTAAAAAGTTATTATACGTATGTAAATATCACTTTTGAGTAAATATTAAAAAATTCTTTAGCCACACTGCGTAAAGTAACCTAAGCGTACGAATTTCACTGGCACTAAACGTATCGATTTCTTATTATTTATCTTCAGCTTAGTAAGAGTGATTATGTATGAAGTATAAAACAAGTAATTTTTAAACAAAAAACAAAACCGACTTCAATTCTCATACAAAAATTTAAGAATACCGTTAATTTCTTCATGTAGATATTAACCTCCTTTTTTGGAAGTCGGTTCTAAAGTTTTCATACATACATATGCACATACTGCTTCTTTTTATACCCGAGAGCACTTGTGCACAAGGGTATATTAACTTTGTTCACATACCGGTTGTTTGTAACAGCCAAAACGAATCGAGATAGATATAGACAAATGTAAACATAAATGCTCAGAATGAATAGAGAAGTCGACTAAGCCATGTCCGTCCTTCTGTCCGTCCGTCCGTGTACACGATAACTCGAGCAAAAATTGAGATATCTCAACGAAATTTGGTACATAGGTTTCCATTTATCCAAGGTAGGTTGGTGTTGAAAATGGGCAAAATCGGACTGTAACCACGCCCACTTCCCATATAACGGTAATTTTCAGAAATACGAAAACTGCGATATTTTAGTAACTACTGAAGATTATTCACTCAAAATTGATATTTACAATAAATTTAAGAATGTTATACATTTTTGGAAAATGGGCGTAGCCACGCCCACTTATGGATATATCTTGGAAACCGCTGCACCAATTTCTTCCAAACTTGGCACAGTTTTGGTACAGTATACCAAATGGCCGAAAATTTTTAAAATCGGACAATAACCACGACCACATCCCATATAACGGTAATTTAGAGAAATACAAAATCTTCGGTAAATCAGTAAATATTATAGCTAATTTATTCAAAATTGATGCTTGCAAGAATTCTTTACCGAGAAATACCTTTATGATAAAATTTTGGAAAATAGGCGTGGCACCGCCCACTTATGATCACATATATGCCGTTCTACCAATTTGTACCAAACTCGGTATGGTTATTGTGCTTGGTACATAAAAGCAAAACGTTGAAAATTTTTGAAATCGGACTAAAATTACGGCCGCTCTTCATATAACGGTAAATTTCAGAAATGCTTGAAACTTCAATATTTCGAAATTTAAAGACGCTAATTTACTCAAAATTGATACACCCCGGCTTACCATGTAGCGGTAGCTTTCGGAAAGGTGAAAAACATATATTTAATACTTGCACATATTTAATACACAGTGCCGCCTAAGTGGGCAAAAATCGAAAAATTCGTTATCTGCAATGTGAACTTGTTTGGTATTTTTTTAAAGACAATTTATCCACTAAAAAGAATTAAACAGACATTTCCCTAAAAAATTAATTATATGCCGCCAGGAAGCCACTAAAGTCGACAAATTTTATACCAAGAATTTTAATAAGAGCATAGCCATGCGTAAGCTCTTCACAGAAAAAATGTCAAAAATATATTCTTTGAAATAAAATGTTGGTTTGACGTTTCTTGTTTCCATATAGATAGTAGAGAATTACAGGAATTAAAATTTTGGAATAAAATTAAACACAGGGTGTCCCTGCGGTGTTCCAAAAAAAAAAACAATTTTTTATACAAAATTTCAAAAAATGCTAAATTTTAATGGAATGAATAAAAATATATTTAAATATAGTTGTTTTTTATTTTTTTATTAAATAGTACGGGCTTTTAGCTTTCTGAAGTAATGCATTTTTCGCTAATGCATAAAATAATTTTTTCGTTTTTTTGTCAGTGCCTTGAGATCTGCACGATTCGTTCAATTTTCAAAAATGAAGTGTCAGATTAAAAAGCTTGACCTGTGGACAATAGAAGGTTTATTTTTTTTAAAGAGTTGCCACCTGTTAAAAAATTAGGTTTTTTTTTTTTATAAGTTAAATGAATTATTAAGAGATGGGTATCAATCGAAATGTGTATTAACTACATGTAGATAGTTGCCACCTGTTTAAAAAATCAAATTCTACTTGAATTAAAGGAATTAGGTAATTGAAATAGATAGGTATCGCCATAAGGGAGACAGACGAAAGAGGTTTAAGAAGGTTTTAGCTTAAAAATATTACGAATAGGGTTGCAACCTGTTTGTAAAGTCGAATTTAGTTGGTTTAATTACGTCAAACCATAGGATTACGCCATCGTATTTGTTGTTTTATTACAAATACATACATTGTCAATCAGTGATTTGTTCTGATTACATTCCTTTTAAATTACTGGACTCTTAAATTAACTCAGGAATGTTTTTATTCTCCACTTATTTCTTGCTAAATACGTCAAATTTTTTCATTTGTCTGATACTCATAGTGATATACATATTTCAGTTACCTTATTCCCTTAATTAAAGAGGATTTGATTTTTTAAACACGTGGCAACCCTCTATGTATCATTAAGAGGTAAAGTATTTCCAAAACTAGTTCAATTGATACCCATTTTGTAATATCTAATTCATTTAACTTATTAAATAATTTTAATAAAATTTGTAACAGGTGGCAACCCTTTTCAAAAATAAAAAACTTTATTGCACATCTACAGGCCAAGCCCTGTCATTTGACACCTCACTTTTGAAAATAGAACGAACAATATGTACATACCTACCCTGCAGGGAGTGACGTTAGCTTATACCTAACTTTAGTCTTTTTACGCGAACACTAGTGCTAACTATTAACTGTGTATTTTGTTCGAAAAAAGCTAACTACTTTTGTGGGGCGATGGCCGCAAAAAAGTCAGACCTGGATACCTCTGCATTACATGTCAACTAACTTGTAACTAACTACTTTTGGACATAAAATATCAATAAGAAAAACAAAATATTTTTTTGTTTTTTTACTTTTTTATTTACTTATTTATTTACTTTATTTTATTACATTTCATATTTGTTTACATATTCTGCTCTGGGTGGCCCCATATTCGAACACCGTCAGACATAACTTCAAAATGATAGTATAAAATTTCGATCTTCCTTTTATTTGTCCTGAATATGAAAAAGAATCTGCGAAGTTCAGAAAAAAAGTGTATTGAAAGTAATTTTTGTATGAGGATATTTAATAGAAACTTGTAAAGAAAACCAACTCCCGATTGCGTCTGCATGACTCCTGCACGACTTTACAATTCACTTTAAGTTGGTTTTGTCATAGCTAATTAAAAGTGAGGTATTAATCGAAATCTCGCCAAAAAGCTAACTATAAGTTGGTTAGTTTTAACAATTGATAATTTTTCACTGCAGGGTTGTAAAGAAAACCAACTCCCGATTGCGTCTGCATGACTCCTGCACGACTTTACAATTCACTTTAAGTTGGTGTTGTCATAGCTAATTAAAAGTGAGGTATTAATCGAAATCTCGCCTAAAAGCTAACTATAAGTTGGTTAGTTTAAACAATTGATAATTTTTCACTGCAGGGTATGTAAAAGCCACAAGAACCCAAATTTTCAACTTCACTCTGCATTTACAGTGAAAGTATGAAAGTTATCCTAAAACCAATTGCAGTAGCGTCCTCAATTTTACTAAGAGCGAATTTTCATTTAAATCCGTCAATAATTCTATTTTTGACCACATTTTATATGTGCTTCCCGTGCGGGTGTTTAATGTTCGGCACCGCCCGAACTTAGACTTTCTTACTTGTTATTTTTTAATATTTTTTAACAGATTAATGAAATGTAATCATTAAGCAAAAGGTTACTACTAAAATAGGGATATCTAAGGCATTTTAAAATTTATGCAGTTCTCGTCTTTTACATGGAATGACCCTAATTCAAATATTGAGTTAACAGTTTATCGCATATTAATGTTTGCTGCAGTATTTTTTTGCGTTGCCAATACACCCTTCGAATATGAGTCAAGTAATGATGAATAGGATGAGTGGTAAGGGGCACGTACTTCGTAGGACCTGGGTTCGATTCATTCCGGGCAACATCTAAATTAGAAATAGATTTTTCTAACAGCGGTCGCCCCTTAGCAACCTCCATGGTAAACCTCCATGTATTACGTTCGTGGCGGCGTAAAACTAGTCCTCCCGATTAGTGTAACAGCACTAAGCAGCATACTATAAATTGGAGGAGAAGCTCGGTCAAACACTTAGCAAAAGGTGTTTTTCACCCTTGTCTAGAATAATTTTTGAGTCCAGCAGGCGGGGTCGGTGTAGACCAAGCGCCTGAAGTCTGCTGGAAGATCTTCCAAAATTCTAGAGTGCCTGAACCTAGCGTCACTCCATTTGATCAACGCGTTTAATCTAATAGAAATACTATTTGCCTGTAGTTTACCATATAAGTCCAGAGATAGCAAATGAAACAATGTCTTAATGGCTTAAGTCGGCGTCGATGGTAAGGCTCCCGTGATCATCGTGGCGTGCACTTTTGAACTTTTGTTGGTTTGTTTCTTATTGTAGATTTATCTACGGAGGACCACCAAACCGTGATATCGTAGAACAGAATGGGATGCTGTGTACATCCAGTTCACAGTGTGAGGCTTCAAGCCCCATTTTTTTCTGTCGCTGATTTAGCAGTTAAAGCTTACTTGGAAATCTCTTCTTCATTGCGCCACCAAGTTAAATTCCTGTCAAGAATAACGCCCAGATATCTAACTTCATCCGTAAAAGTCAGCGCAATGTCGTTCAAAGAAAGAAGTTGTAGCCGGACAGTTTGCGCTTTCTTTGAAAAAATAACCATGACCGATTTTGCCGGAATGCCACTAAGGCCGGCTTCTTTGTACTAGGTATCCACGACGAGTAAGTCGATTTCAACTTAGTGAAATAGAATTTGGTGGTGTTTACCAACTGCCGTCAGGACAAGATCGTCAGCACCATGCAACCGTGAGAACGGAATATTCACCGTTAAATCCCAAGGGAGTAGGGAAAGACACCGCCTTGCGTGGTGCTGCGGTTTGTATATCTTGTTACGGATACCTCCCCAATCTCCGAATATGTAACACTGCTGCCTAAAAGGTAGCGAACAAATTTTAACGGAGGCATATCCAGCCCAAGGTTAATTAGGGCTTGGAGAACATTATTGAAGGCATCCTCGATATCTAGTAACACGCCCACTGCAAATTTTTTAAAGGCGAGTGCGTTTTCGATGGTGCTAAATATGGTCATGTCAATAAAAGGCAAAGCTGTATCCACAGAACTGCCTTTCCAATAGACAAGTTGACAGCTAGAGAGTTGCTGCATCACAGGCAACGGCTTCATGAATTTGTTCAGATGAGCTAAACTCATCGAGAGATGCAAATATATTTTTCTGCATGAAGATATTCTCTAACTAGGAAACTACTCTTAAAACTGTTTTTGTATCAACTGTGTTGCATCTGTACGATCCTAAAGCAGTTATATTTCCGGATCTGATTTTTGAGTTGTGCCTCTTTTGAAGATGTGCGATATGTTGAGTGGCTGCGAATATTAAAAAGGCAGCTGATCTTTGTATTCAAACAAACATTAAAAGCTATTTGTATTTATTGAAAGGCGCGACCAGATATACACAAATTACCTCTTGACTTATGGTGTCTTTAGATATTAGATTTATATGAATGTTATCGACGTCACCTAAATGATTGTTTATATGTACATACACCCATGGCCAAGATAATAGAAACGTCTTCTTTTGACCAGTTTTGGCTATCTTTTTTTCTTTAATATTTATAAATTGTTTTTAAAGTGCACCTCGTTATCTAACAAAAAACATATAAATTAATATTTCAAGCTATGTGTAAAATTTTTAAAAATTTTTCAGTTGCATCTAAATTTTCAACTTTTTAAGCAGATTTTTATAACTTTTTTTTGAGTATGCACTTTTATAGCCCATTAAGTTTTAGTATAATAAAGTGTATGTATGAATGTATTTCTGCCATGAAAAACAGCTTCTCATAAAAATAGCAGTTCGGAGTCGGTGTAAAACTGTAGGTCCCTCCCCTTTGTGAGACAACATCAAGGCGCACGCCACGAATCGGAGCGTAGGCGCCAATGTATTATTAAAGTGTAAGTTTTAAGTTGCTAAAAAATAGCGTAGATTTTACATAAGGGCTGTTCAGGATCGCGTGTATATGATCTAGCATTTGCATATTTCGGTGCATTTGTAAAGTCACAACACTAAAATGCAAACGGTTGCAATTGTAGCAAGCATAAAATTTGCAATGCAATTCCAAGTCCAAATCCAAGACCATTTCCACGATATCCTGATCAGCCCTATATATTTTTTCTGACTGTGTTGAATAAAGTTTTATCAACTAGGCCACCCAAAGTTGACTTTTTGATTTTTATATTTCATTGGCCGATGTCTAAAGTTAACATGGTGTGCATTATTGACACCAAAAGTTTTGCGATAATTTTATTTCTAGACGAGTTATTTGCAAGCAAATTTTTATGCAGGCACCTTTTGAAATATTTCAGCAAAATAAAGTGGTTATTTTGTTGCCCAATAAGTTCTCTAAATGCTGTAAAAAGATCATAAGATTCGAATAAATGCTTGCTGAAATATTTAAAAAAGTGTAAAAGCCTACAAAATTTGTTTGCAAATAACTCGTAAATAAAAAAATAAAATTGGTGCAAAATCTTTGGTGTCAATGTTGCACACCATGTTAACTTTCAAAATCGGTCAATGAAATATAAAAAATCGAAAAGTTAACTTTGGGTGGCCCACTTGAGAAAACTAGAAAATTTAGATGAAAGATTTAAATACGAATTTATATGGGTTTTGTTAGATAATGAGCTGCACTTCTATAAAAAATAATAAATATTAAATAAACAAATGGAATGTAGCCTAAATTGGTCAAAATAAGGAGTTTCTATTATTTTGCCCATGTGTCTACGAATAACTCTTCGCTGTCTAAGCGGCAATTCCTTTACCTTATCATCTTGGGATTGTATTTATAAGAAAATTTACTCGTCTAATTTTTCATTTCAATTGTCTATTTTTGTAGTTGTGAAAATATGCAAGAGCTGATATTGACCGAAAATTTCTTATCGGAATTGCCTGTATCGATCGGTCAAATGACGAAATTAAGCAATCTAAATGTCGATCGCAACGCGCTGGAATACCTACCCGCCGAGATAGGGAATTGTGCAAATTTGGGCGTTTTGAGTTTGCGTGATAACAAACTAAAGAAACTGCCGCCAGAGTTGGGAAATTGTTCGGTGTTACATGTGCTGGACGTATCAGGCAATCAGCTGCAGTACCTGCCATACACGTTGGTGAATTTGCAGCTGAAAGCTGTTTGGTTATCTGAAAATCAGGCACAGCCTCTGCTGACGTTCCAGCCAGACACAGATGAAGCAACAGGTGAACAGGTGAGTTTTCGTTCAAATGTCCGCTCTGAGCCAAGTACACAGACAGACTTGAATAACGAATGAATGGGAAAGAGAGAGTACAAAATAAACTCAGTATAAAAAACAAAAAGGAATGGGGTAAAGGGATTGGTAATTACGTCGTATTTTGTTTGTGCATGCGCGTGTCAGTAACATCGACGTGAATTTTTATATATGTATATATGTATGTATGCATGCGCATTTATGATTTGGATGCCGCTTGGCTTTTATTTTGCTTTTAATTTCATTTGGGAATTCGCTAGGGTGTGTAAATTGTCTGTTGTGTGGAAAAATAAGTAACTAACAAATTTTTTTTTGTTCTAATTTTGTTTTTATTTCCTCTAAGGTACTGACATGCTTCCTACTGCCACAACAAGAATATCAACCTATTACACCAGGTGAGTGCCGTATTTATTTATTTTTTAACTCGTATCTACATATTAATTGTAATCTCTTAAAAAATCGTATTTAGTATGTAGTTGACCTTTTTCAACATACGTACATGTGATATGCATACAGTACTGTTGAGATAAAAGTTACCACTGCATACATATTTCTAACCATGCATATGTATGTCCACACGAAAAGAAGGTATTTTATTGAAAAATAATAATTCTTGTTAACCTATTTTCGTATTATCGTGAATGACAGCGATTTTTGTTTACTTTTTTTCTGTAAATTTCCATCGGATTTCTTGCAATGGGCTTCAATTCGTAATACGGGATTACAATGTATGCGTTTATCAGGTATCTTAAAAATTCATATACCTGTATGTTGGTATTTGATCTCTCATCATCCGCCATTTTGCGCCACACAACAATGTCAATGGACTTTAGATCCGACTTGGAAGAAATTCGGTCTGTAAATTTTTTTTTTTAATTAGAGCCATCTAGATGCATTTGTTTGCATGTACATATATCTCTACCTATTTGCCAAAGGAAAAAGTCCGGTTCGCGTTAATTTCCTTGTGTTTTTTATATGGGGTATTCATTATTAGTTTGAGGACATAAAATGGCTGGCTGTGCGTACTGCAGCATAAAATGATAAATAACAAATTTTTATATGAAACTACACACAGCCAGCCATTTTAGGTCCTCAAACGAATAATGAATACATATACATATATACAGTATGTACATATCAACACCTCCAAACCATACTATGCTAAGTCTCACTAAGTCTAAGGTGACTTAGCATGGTATGGTTTGGAAATGTCGATGTGTATGCTACCGCATAACTTTGGACTACGTTAACCGATTTCTATATATTTTTTTTTTAAGAAAAGGTGTTACCTCATAGGTGGTCGTCCCATACCAATTTAAATCCGATCATTGGATCATGAAGAAACTAACTTTTTTTACAAGAATTGAAGTAGGTTGTGTTTTTTGATTAAAAATTACTTGTCATTTAGAGTACAGAAGTGCACAGCTTTCAAAAACAAAACACCTTGAAAACTTCAGAATCTTTTAAGATCAGCTAGAGGTATTTTAGAAACAAGTAATTTTTAAACAAAAAAACAAAACAGCTTCAATTCTCATATAAAAATTTAAGATTATCGTTAATTTCTTCGTGATATAATGATCGGATTTAAACCAAATTATTAGTTATCTTTACCAAAAATGGCTGATAGAGTGGAGTTTGATGCGAAAAACATAGAAAGAACATGAAGGAAAAGTGCAAAAAATGTTTTTTAGTAAAAATAAATTGCAGATTCAGATCCTTTTTTCGTAAAAATAAATTGCAGATTCAGATTCTTCTTAGTCAAAGAACTCCGAAAGACCTTTTGATGGTATAAATATTTCTCTTGAAACTTTAACTGCAAAAATAGAAACGCAAAGAATAATAATAAGAATTATTTTTACGTTCTAACGTCCTTACATATATTAAAAAGTTACGAAATTACAGAATCACAGCTGGTGCAACTTTTTTAAATGTACTTGGACCAAACTTTGGACTACTTACAATCACTTAAGGTTATGGTGCAGAATACGTACATTTCTTTAATTAACCAAGCCTACAACAAACATTAAACATTTACACCAAATTGATCAGCATACAAAAGAAGAAAACATGTTATTTGGATCCATACGGGTTTCGCCCTGATCATAACGATATAATTTTTTTGATGCGAAATAATAATTGGTGGCGTTACTGAAGGTCCAAGTATAAATTTTTCACTTTCTGTAAATTGAAATTTCTAAAACAGTACTGTATTAATTTTCAATTATTTTGCCGTCGCTTGAACGGTATGTTTTATTTTTTCTATTTATACGTTTATGAGAAAAATAAGTTTTTATATAAAAAATTACTAAATTTAATAAAAATGAAGTTCTGCGCAAAAACACTTCCGCCCCTCTTTTCTGGCAACACAGAATTCGACTTAGTAAGGGTTATAATCCCTAAGCGCGGCCGATGGCCTCCTACGCAGAAAGAAGTTCTTATATATGACATGTTGTATAAAAAATTAAAGCTCGATTTACACCCTTTTTAAATATGGTATTTATATATAATGTTCATGATGTGATTTTTAAAGAAAAAATAATAATTTTGTAAACAAAAAATTTCGATTTTTTTTTATAAAAAGTAGTTTGTTCATAAATTTTTTTAATAAAGAATAATATTTTTATTACATTTCTAATGACATAAAAATCCTGGAAATATCTTTACGGGTTTATGAGATATTGACGGTTAAAAAATAGATGTTTTAACATGGAATTAAACTTGCAGTTTCTGATTCCAAAAAAAAAAAATAAAATATATGTTGTAATCAGTATAAATTCCTCTATAGTGCTCAATTTTTATTTATTTTATGTATTTCACTTATTCCATTTTCACATTTATAATATAGTTAAATGTTCGGTCTATTGCCAAAAATCAGTATCTATGTTAAAAACAGCGTTCATAAATCATATACCGATGTTTACAATTTAAATCCAAGTCAAATCAGTCTTAAGTAATTCAAATAGAAACTCTCCCTTTCATGCGGATTTATTCATCGTTTGAAATATGTATGCAGCGATAACTTTTATCTCAACTTAAGCACTATATGCAAGTATTTACGTTACTATGTTAAGGAGTATGGGTGATAACGTGTTCAGAGTTCAATACGAAACTGCTATTCAACTATATTCTTATTTCGCTTACTTTTATTCTGTCATTTAAAAAATATTTTTATACAGACAAATATAAAGTTTTGCCATTACGAATTTACAAACTTAAAATTTTAGCTCAAATGAATGAATTTGCTCTGTACAAACGTTGTAGTTTCCTTGGAGCGTTCGATAGTTATCGATGTATGTGTGTTTAAATACTTTGTTTACTTCAAATTTGTTTGTTTTTTGCTTGTGCAAGAATATGCAAAACTGCATATCAGCTTTTTATTGTAAAGCATACATTCTTAACTAAACACATTAACTCAGCGCATAGAAAAGATTCAGTATTAATACGGTTCCGCATCCCTTATGATAAACTTAGCAATGCACAGTGGCCAATTTTTCTAAAAAGCTGGCCAAAAGTCGAAGCGTGGTACAATTGTAATCAAACCTTGTGTATTCGTCTTTATTTTGGTTGCTGGTTTTAAATTTCAATACATTATTTCGAAATTCAAAATGACGGATCCATAATGGCTGCTGTGTACGCTTAAAATAATCAGATTTTTAGTAAAACTAAGGTAGTTAAGTATAAAAGGTCATGTTTTCTGCTTTTTTGTTATATAATGTGATGTAGCGGTTAGCAATATACGCTATCATTCAAGCCCAGTTTCCGACTAACATCAAAAAATAAGAATCAAACAAGTGTTTTGTAATAAAGTCGCCCTTTGGCAGCCAATGGCAAACCTCGAGTGTATTCAGCCACGAAGAACAGCTTCTCATAAAAATAAAATCCCCAATCGGATTCGGTGTAAAACTGTTGGTCCCTCCCCTTTGTGCGCCAACATCAAGGCGCACGCCACAAATGGAAGAGAAGCTCGGACAAACACTAACGAGGTCTTAATGTTTGTTTTTAAAAATCTTGATGTTCAAATTTACACGGGAACTGCGGTATTTTGAATGAATCAATGAACAAGACATACATATTTGTTGGTACAGGAATATATTTTTGACATAACAATTTTATACACCGTCAGACTCGCAGTCATTTGAAGTATCCAAGCTCATATCTATATTTTGTGATGGCAATTCCGCATCCGCATTTACAACAGTTGATAATAATTTAATGGCATCTCACGACAGTTTTTCTATCCGTGAATATCTATCTATGTCTAACGTCAGTTTTTAGATGGCGTAACAATGAAAAAACATGTTTTACATACTCTAGATTAGAATGTCCATGAGCGGATGATTGAAAACTGTTATTTTTTTTTTAAAGATAATACCACCATTTTAACAACGACGAAAACTCTAATTTACGAAAAGTTTAGGGCGAATTGCTAGCAACAGCACTTCGATCTCCTGTAACACTAAATGCCTTAAGAGAATCGACTTGTGGCCTCGTAACGATACGCAGTAGAGTCCTCCTAACAATATAAGATGGTTAGGCATACGAATGCACCAATTTTTTTTTGGATTTTTGGCCAGGGTCTTCCAAAAATTGGCCACTGTGCAATGTAATGCTTTGAACGCAAGTGCAAATATGACATAAGCAATTTTTGTATACAATCACAAGTGTAGCATTTAATTTTGCAAACGAAGTCGGTTATACTTAATCAATAATGTGTAAATTCTTGAAATCCCTACTCAATTACGGTATTCAAATAATTCTTGAAAAGTTAGCCGGGTATTAGCTGAATTCGCTACTGAACTTTCTATGCAGACCCTATATGATTACCATTTTAAGGCTGTTGTGTCCCTATTTCTTACTTGCTTATTTTATATGAGAGCTAACGAATATGTATATGAGCCATTCTTTTTTAAGCCTGATTTCGTAAAAAAATGGTATCTTGTCTCCTATTCGCTTAAATTTTTTTTAAGGGTTCTATACATGAAATAAGCTAACACGTGGTCATAACTGTCCTAAAGCTAACTTGGCTATTAACGGTTGAACTTTTTGAAGTTAATTTGCATAGTGAAGACCAGTAAAGTGGGGTTTTAAAATTACACCGTCCTAATCCTTGTTTAATTCTAAGAAATAACAATAAAAAACATGCTTAAAAAAATGGGCTTTTTTCAAGAACTATTGTGAAATATTTTTTTTTTTATGACGAGATGGTTTATTTTGTGAGTCAAACATTTTTTGTAATTTGTTATCGAAAACTTGTGAGGAAATATATTTAGTACGGTGCTAAAAATCGAGTTTTTGCAAAAATTGAAATTGCGGATTCTTTGTTCGAAAAAGTTGTGGAACAAATTATCTTCATGCGCCAAGAACGCGTGCTAAAAAAAAAAAAAGGTAAGTGCGCCTGGGCCACACTGGAGAAGTGAAATTTACGTTACATATAGGGTGATTTTTTTTATATATTTTTTCTATCTACATACATCTATCCTGTTTGTTCTAATTACATTTATTTTATTCCGTTTTCATTTATCTTCATTTTTATCTTCATACTCTATCGATAACAGAATCGATAGTAGCATCAATCAAAATAACGACAACAAAACCGATAAAAATATCGATACCAAATTCGATAAAAATATCGATAGCAAAATCGATAACAAAGTCGATAGTAAAATTGATAACAAAAACGATAGCAAAAAATATCTATAAAATTACCTAAAACAAAATCCATAAAAATACCCATAGCAAAATCGATAAATATCGATAACAAAATCGAAAACGAAATCGATAAATATCGACAACAAAATCGATAAATATCGATAACAAAATCGACAAATATCCATAACAAAATCGATAAATATCGATAACAAAATCGATAAAAAATATCGCTAACAAAATAGTTAAAAATATCGATTACAAAATCGATAACAAATCGATAGAAATATCGATAACAAAATCGATCAAAATATCGATTATTATATCGATAAGTCCCGAAAATATCGATAGCAAAATTGATAATAATACCGATAAAAATTTCGATATCTAAATGGATAAAAATATCGGTAACAAAACCGATAAAAATATTGATTATTTTATCGATGTTTCGAGAATCCTGAAAATCTCTAAAATCCCAAAATAGTTCCCAGATTGAGTCTCTGTGTCTCTCTCTATATCCTCTTTAATAACCTTTATTTTAATCTTTCTTCCCCTATCTTCATCTTTACTTTTATCGGTATCCTCATCCTCATCGTTGTTTTTACTTTTATGTTTATCATTTTCTTCATCAACATATTCCCCTTCACCTTTGCCCTTATATATATAAGTAAAGTGTTCAAATTTACCTTGGTATTCGTTTTAACCTTTATCTTTACACATCTTTGTTTTTATACCCGAGCGCATTTGTGCACAAGGGTATATTAAATTTGTTCACATAACGGTTGTTTGTAACAGCCAAAACGAATCGAGATAGACATAGACAAATGTATACATAAATGATCAGAATGAAAAGAGAAATCGATTAAGCCATGTCTGTCTGTCTGTCCGTCCGTCTGTCCGTCCGCCCGTGTACACGATAACTCGAGCAAAAATTGAGATATCTCAACGAAATTTGGTATGTAGGTTTCCATTTACCCAAGGTAGGTTGGTATTGAAAATGGGCGAAATCGGACTGTAACCACGCCCACTTCCCATATAACGGTAATTTTTAGAAATACGAAAACTGCGATATTTTAGTAACTACTGAAGATTATTCACTCAAAATTGATACTTACAACAATTTTTAGACGAAAAATAATAATATTATAAATTTTTGGATAATGGGCGTAGCCACGCCCACTTATGGTTACATGTGTAAATCTTGGTAACCGCTGCACCAATTTCTTCCAAACTTGGCACAGTTGTTGGCCTTGATGGAGCATACTAAATGGCCGAAAATCGGACAATAACCACGCCCACATCCCATATAACGGTGATTTAGAGAAATACAAAATCTTCCATAAATCAGTAAATATTAAAGCTAATTTATTCAAAATTGATGCTTGCAACAATTCTTTACCAAAAAATACGGTTATGGTAAAATTTTGGAAAATGGGCGTGACACCGCCCACTTATGATCACATATATGTATATCGGTAACCGTTCTACTAGTTTGTACCAAACTCGATATTTTTATTGTGCTTGCCACATAAAAGCAAAACGTTGCAAATTATTTAAATCTGACTAAAATTACGGCCGCTTTTCATATAACGGCAAATTTCAGAAATGCTCGAAACTGCAATATTTCGAAATTTAAGGACGCTAATTTATTCAAACTTGATACACTCCGGCTTACCATCTAGCGGTAGCTTTCAGAAAGGTGAAAAAAACATATATTTAATACTTGCGCCGGGTATTTAATGTTCGGCTCCACCCGAACTTAGACTTTCTTACTTGTTGTTTTTTTTTATTTTTTTTTTATTTTTACCTTTGCCTTTATAATTTTCTTTATCTATGTACGTATTCACGTTTACTTTCATTCTTGTATTGGTATTGATAAGTGTTATCCTCTAACCTTTTGTTAGCAAGTTTTTGTTAAATTCATACCATATGCATACACACAAGAAGTACTTCTTTCAGCCCCAACCATTTCCGTTGCTTCATTTCCGTTGCTTCATTTCCGTTGCATACACACAAGAAGTACTTGTTTCAGCCCCAAACCATTTCCGTTGCACCATTTCCGTTGCATACACACAAAAGTACTTGTTTCAGCCCCAACCATTTCCGTTGCATCATTTCCGTTGCACCATTTCCGTGTGCAATTTCCGCTGAATTTGCCAATTTACTCCCAACCAACCAACCGCCGCTAAAGAAGTTTCACTTCAAAAACATCGGTCAACCAAGAAAAGGTTTTGCTGAGAGTTGACTTGCCTCTGTCAAAGCGGATCTTAAAAGTATTTGATAAGAAGTTGAAATTGATTTTAGACGTATTTTGCTGTAGTTTACTTGTTACTTGTTATACGAATTACAAAATAAATTAATAATGTAAAAATTTAACCATCATCAATTTCACTGCTAACAAATAATGCATAACGATATACGTATTCGCATACACATACATATATTCACCTGATGAAATATTCGTCTGTGTTCAAAGATTACCCACCGTGCCAACTCTATAGATCGAGCGAAAAATTCGATTCTTCGGAATTCCACGTCTATCAACAAAAAGGTTTGCCAACAGTGCTCAATTTATGTATTGTATTTGCTGATATTTGCAAGAATATAGTCATGTTAAACGAATATAGTCATGTTAAAAAAAAGTTGTTCTTGAATGAGTTCTTGGGCATATATATACATACATACTTACATATATGGGAAAATCTCCGGAACCATACGCTTTTGTGTTACTCAGCTTTAAATTTATTTTAACAATGTAATTTTATAAAAAAACGTGGATGATTTTGATATCAATTTTGATGTGGTTTTATTTTTTTTATATTATCTATTGTCATTAAATTTTAATTTCTATAAACAATCCAAGTCTTCATGATAAACAATTTGGCTACCTATATTCTTTTTTTTTAATTCTAATTTTGGGAAATGCATTACACGACGAAAACGTGCTCTGGTTGGAAATAAACTAACAATTTGAAATTTGTTACTCGCAATATCAGTAAAGTAATATTATTTATTATAATATTATTATTTTCAATTTTGCACCTTAAGCAAATACTTAACTGTACTTATTTTTTTTATATATTTAATATTTACTTTTTCATATATTTTTCCGTAAAAAAAAACTGACAAGAGTTTATCACTGATACAGAACAGAGCCGTAAGCCTTATACATTTGTACAGGTATGTTCATTTAAAAATAAAGAAAATAAAATAATTATTATCTGGAGATTTGTCTTTGCGTGAATGGCTTCAAATTTACCTTTTTAAATAACATTCTTGGTATATGTACATTAGACTGACACTCCCCATACAAAAAAAAATCGGTACTATTTTTCCATTGGAATTATAAAATCTATTATATTTTAAGACGTCCACCAAAATATTTCGAAAAAATATTAAGATTTAAGTGAGCTGGACCAATTTCAAAATACCTCCAAAAATGGAGTTTTTTATGAATAAAAATAGTTTTTTAAATTTTTTTTTTTTTTAAAATCCCCTCAAATGACAAAACGGTTTAAGCTTAAAAAATTTGCAAAAAAAAATTAAAAAAAAATTTGAACGGAATCGTAATGATGAGGTTTTTGATGCTGTTTTTTAACTTTTCAAAGATTGTTATAAGAAAAACTTGAATAACTGAGTCTAAACTCTTCTGGTTTAGACTTAAGAAGTGTCGGTGGGAAGGTATTTTTTGCACCCTCTTTATTTCTTTGCTAATAAACTCATTCAGGGGATGAAAGAGAAAGGTAGGATGAACGAATGTTATTCAAAGTTGAATTAAGATGTGTTGGTATTTGAAAAAGAAAAAAAATTGGGACACGAATGATTTTTTTTGGACAGAAATAAAAACAGTGTGAAAATACCTTTCTACTGAGATCCCATAAGTCTAAATCAGAATAGTTTTGGCCCAGTTATTCAAGTTTTTCGTAAATCAATCTTTGAAAAAAGTAAAAAAAAAACAGCATCAAAAATCTCATTCTTACGATTCCGTTGAAAAGATTTTTAAATATATTTATGCAGATTTTTTAAGCTTAATCTGTTTTGTCATCTGAGGGGACTTTTTTCAAAAAGTTCTTTACGAAACTATTTTTATTCATAAAAAACTCCATTTTTGCAGGTAGTTTCGAATCGGTCCAGCTCACTTAAATCTTAATATTTTTCCCAAATATTTTGGTGAACGTCTTAGAATATAATACATTTTGTAATCCCGGCGGAAAAACCGTAACTTTTTTTGGTGATGCAGTCTAATGTACATAGTTACATACAATATTTGTCTCAAATACGTCAATAAATTTATATGTTTATGTAACAGATTCTTTGAGCTTTGGCGCAGTTCGGTTAATTTTTTAAATATTTACTCAAAATTTGATTCTTCATAAAGTTTTTTGAAACCAGGCGTGGCACTGCAGATATGTGTATCCCCGAAAAAAACTTCAGCAATCTGTAACAAATGTTATACACATTACACCGACCTCCTTAAGCACCACATTGAACATTTTTGAATTTGGGCGCCAACTTGGAACGTGTATACCAGAAATATCGCAAACATGTTGAGTTTTCGAAAGTTACCGTTTTTTACCAATTACTCTCTCGGTATTAAAAAATGAATCACGCAAGAATTTATTGTTTCCCTCAATGGATTTCAAACCATTTTATGTATAATTTATTTTTGTGCGTTCAATTTAAAAATTTGCGTTTTTATAACTGAGATTTGCCCATATGTCATAAACTCATATAGGTATTTGCTTAACGCTTTTCTGTATATACATATAATGCATATATACGAGTGCTTAAATGTAAATAAATGCATATAAACAATATTTATATTAATAGTACTTAAATAGCCAATCGATATCTTTTACTTGCACCCAAAATATAAAGGCAAAATTAAAATTTTCAGCATGAACGTTAACATATCGCACCCTAAATCAAACAGTCCCAACTCAAAAAATCCCAAAGAAGATAGTGATGATGAAGTAGTTTTTGGCGGACGTTAGAAATATGGCATGTGAACTATTTTATGGGGAAAAATCAATTTTGAGTTGTGACTGTTTTTGATTTAGGGTGCGATATGTACATACTACTCAAAATCTGTAATCATAAGCAATAGTCACCCATACATTTCAGTCATACATTTTTCAATTTATAAACCTTTTATAAAGCTACTTTATTTTTAATGAATAAGGCCAATACATTACATGCATTAGACAAATTCTGAAGTTGATTGAAATGGATATTCTTGCTCACCCAAGGATATGGTGAAAAATGTTATTTTAAAAAATGAAAGAAAAAGCTCATTAAAGGAGATGATTGGCTTTTTATTTCGGGTTATGTAGTCTTAAGTGCATATGTCACCAATCACTTTTAATTACACTCAGTTTTCTATTCGAAGTTTTTTAAATTTAGTTCTCATATTAAACTTGATTTAAGGAAATGGAGCTCCAAAGTAAATCCAAGCCATTTGTAAATAATTATTGGCCATCAAGATATCATTCATTCTAATTCAAAACGACTTAGGCCATACCGTTTTCAAAACTATATCTTTACAAAAGTACTTCAGAAAGTTAGAGATTTAAACTAAATTATTTTTATAATACGGTGCGATACATTACTAAACTATGCCTTAAATCGATTGAAGCGGTTGTTGGTTTTGACCACATTAGTACATTTTATGATATTAATGAAAAAGTAAATAAAAAAATTCTAGTACAGTAATAACTTACTAATAAAACGTATCATTCAATTTAACCTTGCTTTCCGTTTCGGTGGCCTTGTAGAGTGCATAAACATAAAGATCGGAGAGTTTACCGACTGTGGAGCATGGGACGTGTAATTGACTTTTCCCTTTATTGATAGTCATCGCGACGGCAAGGTGTAATTAGAAATTGAAGTTGTTTGAATATGGCGCCAAGTTGGAACGTGTATACCACGCGCACAACCGATTTGCCGGTTGGGTCAGCGGGTGGATGAAAATTAAGTAAATGATCGTATAGACAGTGTAGAGTGAACTTGTACAACAGCATTTGTTTTGATTTACATTTTTAGTTAATTTGAGTGAAATTTTCTTAAATAAAAGTGAATGGCAGCTTTTTAAAACAACAAAAACTGCTAAACTTCCTTGAATCGTACAGAACTTAGCCAGTGCTGGTGAACAAAATTCTTAAATTCCGCGACATGTCCAGCACGACAATTAGAATAATAATGAAGCTGGACAGCGCATTGTACATCGTGTTGAAACGTGTATATTAAACAGCAATCCAAGTCTTTCTCCAAATCCTTAAGATATAAATGTCCCTAGTAAATTGACCACCTACTTTATGTACATATATGTACAGCGTGGCGATGAATAACTGTTACCCCGGTTTTTTTGAGAAATAAAAGGGTCCTTTATAGATTTTGCGAAAAAAGTATTTTGTTGTTAATTTTCCACAGATTTTACTTTAGTTGTAGTAAATAGGTATTAAACTTTAATCCTTATTTACATTTGCCAGCAATTGAAACTTTGAGAGAAAAGTTCATTTGGCACGCAAGTCTTTTTCAGGTGTATTTTTTCTTAGGCTTTGTATAAAAAAAATACAAAAAAGAAAAAAAACTGTATAAGGTTGGTCGAATTAATGGCCGTCCTAGTCACCAGTTCCGAGTCAATTCGATTTATGAGTATGAGGTCTTATGTTGGACAAAAGGGGGAGTATAAGGGACTCAAAATGGAGGAAATTTGCCTACGGTTACAGAATATATGGAATAAATTTACTGACGAAGACCTGCGTGCCAAATGAACTTTTCTCTCAATGTTTACACTGCTAGCAAATGTAAATAGGGATTAAAATTTAAAAACTAATTAATGCAACTAAAGTAAAATCTGTGGAAAATTATCAATAAAATAATTTTTTCTCAAAATCTGTAAAAGACCCCTTTGTTTCTCAAAAAAAACCTGGGTAACAGTTATTCGTCGCCACGCTGTACACTAGGGATGTTAACTTTCTGCTTTTTCCGATCCCGGTATTTTCGGGATGGCGTTGTCACAATCCCGGGATCCCGGGACTAATCCCGGGGCTTAGATATTCATTACTCTTCAACAACTTGAATCGAAACAAGTAAGAAAGTCGTAAGTTCGGGCGGAGCCGAACATTAAATACCCGGCGCAAATATNCAAGCATTTCTGAAATTTACCGTTATATGAAAAGCGGCCGTAATTTTAGTCCGATTTCAACAATTTTCAATGGTTTACTTTTATGTGGCAAGCACAATAACCATACCGAGTTTGGTACAAATTGCTAGAACGGTTTGCGAGATACATATACGTGATCATAAGTGGGCGGTGCCACGCCCATTTTCCAAAATTTTATCATAAACGTATTTCCTGGCAAAGAATTGTTGCAGCCATAATTTTGAATAAATTAGCTTTAATATTTACTGATTTATCGAGGATTTCGTATTTCTCGAAATTATCGTTATATGGAATGTGGGCGTGGTTATTGTCCATTTGGTATGCCGTACCAGGGCCAACAACTGTGCCAAGTTTGGAATAAATTGATGCAGCGGTTACCAAGATAT